ACCATAGTAAAATGTATAAGATTGCGAAGACATCTCATATCGACCTCCTAGCTAGGGCTCCTAGTATAATATATATATATAATTTTGTTAGACAGCAGAAGACGAATGCCAAATTCATGCTATGCCCCGAACACAATTTTCTCTTCACACGGAGAAAAGTAATTAAGCGCGTGGTGTCAAGTTAATTTCTCCAAGTAAAGAGAAAATCGAGCGGGTGTGCCTCTCTCCTCTTGTGCAGAGAATCCATATTCAATTTTGTAATTTCGCGCGTCTCAGCATCTCGCGCATGCGCACGCGCACGTGCGCTCGCACGCGCGGCGCCAACGGCGTTCCTTCCGATGTTGTTACATTCGGAAAATGTCAGATTAATCTCAGTAAGCGGACGCGCCACCGTTATCCGCCCGTAAATACGCGAAATTATTTATTTCGTGCGTGCGTGCGGTTTAACGGGCGGCGGATCGCGAGATAGCGGACGGCGGGTAAGTGGCCGGCGGCGGAAGCGACGGCGACTCGAGCCGTCGCTTGAGCAACCTAGTCCCGTCAGTCGCCGCAGGTCGATGGTGTTGTCCGTACCGACGCGACGGTCCGTCCGTAGCTGCGGCGCGCTCGCGATGCGTCTACCGCGGTGTGTTTCTGCACATGGCCGTGCCGCTCGGCGGATCTTCACGTTACTCCGCGGCTCTCGGCGACCCGCCACTGGTAAACCTGCGTCTTTATGACAATTTTTGCTCGCTGCGAACGGAAAACGCGCGTATCTTCCACTGAAATATGCGGAAAGCCGATTATTGCGGCGGTAGGAACATCCATTCGACGGGAAACGCGGGATTATTTATCTCACGTTCCCTGTCACTCTCTCGCTCCCGCGGGTTCTTACCGCGGCGCCTTTTCCCGTTGCCTCGATCTCGACGCGACGCACCGCGGATCGAGTCGCGTCGCTGGCTCTTCGACGTTAAGGACGATCCTTCGCCGTCGCGTTTCTCGTGCGTCCTTCGCGAAGGAGTTGCTCGAAGCGAGGCGTCGGTTAGGTGATCGCGATATTCAAGGACATCGAAACGTCTCGAACTCTCTAGTAGGGCTATATCTCGCATTTTCCGTTCTATAATTTTTGTAAGCATTTTCTCACTCGCGCAGTTTTCGGCGATCCCTGCATCCGCCCTCGTTTCCGTAACGGTTATTGTCGAGCTTGTGCGGAAAAATTATTTCTTTGTTCACGTATAATTGCGGGCAATTTTTTTCCACTTAAAAATTAACTGTTGGTATATTTTACAAGTAACGACTGGGACTTTAATGTATCCCCGCATGCATGTTCTTTTATATATTATTTGTAACAAATTGTGATTTTTTGTAGGATTGCGTCTACCATTTTTGAAAGAATTATATTACGCCTTGCATCCACCATGACTACGTCCTCGGAAGATGTCCTGATGCAAGTGGGTCAAGTGCGTTTCAAAAAGGGAGATGGTACTTTATATGTGATGAACGAACGGATAGCGTGGATGCTCGATAACAGGGACACTGTGTCTGTGAGCCATAAATATGCTGATATTAAGTGTAAGAAGTTGTGCGAATTTAATAAATTGATTACAATTGGTTTAATTAATGTATTATCTTGTATACACATACGTATACGTTATGTCTATATGTGTGTACATTACTGTAAATATTTAGGAGACAATATATGCAAATCTATCAGTTTTATGTCAATCGATAATAATTGAAATAATTGTTCTTTGCAGTGCAAAAGATATCTCCGGAGGGAAAATCAAAAATACAGCTGCAGGTGGTGTTACACGACGGTACGTCGTCCACATTTCACTTCGTAAATAAAAATGGATCAGAAGCACAGATTAAAGATCGCGACGATGTGAAGGAGTTGTTGCAACAGTTACTACCGAAATTCAAGCGGAAAGTTAATAAGGAATTGGAAGAAAAGAATAGGTAATATGATTGAAATGTGTTTGATAGTTTGGGAGTAGTCATATTTTTTTGTTTAGTTAAACAGATAATTGTATATGTTCAAAGAAAGCGCCTGTTACTAAAACTTTATCATACATTTTGATTACTTTGTAGAAAAATTTCCTTCTCTAATCGCATTTCTCGGGAATTCTTCATTTCATCGAATGAAAAATATGACTGCTTCTAAATTTTTGAACGGTATAGAGGAAAGTACCCTATTGTGGGATAGGCTCCTAATATGAAACAGCGGAGTTTCTGCTAAATTAATTGGCATCGTCTGTTGGTTCCAACATGAATTTATTACCCTTGGTGTGAAATCTGTGTAGTCGAAAATTGATTGTTAGATCGTGTAATCATTGCGAAAAAAGATTTATGATTGAGTTTTGGACATTGAAAATCCACTACCTCATATTAGAATCCTAACTCATAATAGAGGACATCCCTCTACTATATAACAAATAATTTAAAAACACATTCATATCTTGTTACAAACACATTATCTTGTTATTAGAACCCTTCAAGAACATCCCATGTTGCTTCAATTATATCGCGATCTGGTAATCACGCAAGTGATATCGTCTGAAGAATTTTGGTTGCAACATGCTGCAGAATATACGCAAGCTAAGAAGATTCAACGTCAAGAGATAGGTGTTAATAGCGCTTTTCTGGTAGATACCTTTTGTAACAATGTTACATTTGTCCTTAGTGTATAAATTATATGAGTAATCGATAACATTAATTGAATTTTTTAGGCGGACATTAAACCACAAACCGACGGTTGCAATGGATTAAAATACAATTTAACTGTCGATGTGATAGAATGTATATTTAAGACTTACCCAGCTGTTAAAAGGAAACATCAAGAAAATGTGCCTCATAAAATGTCAGAGTCTGATTTCTGGACGAAATTCTTTCAATCACATTATTTTCACAGAGACCGTATCAATGCTGGGACCAAGGATCTTTTTACCGAATGTGCCAAAATAGATGATCAAGAACTTAAGAAAGACCTTCAAACTGGGATAAATGATCCTTTGGTAGACATTACCTCCTTTGAGGATCAATCACTGGATGAAAATTACGGAAGCGGATGTAGTAAATCAGACAAAACATCAGGAAATATTGTACATCAAAATATGATCAAGAGATTTAATCAACATAGCATAATGGTTATGAAAGCCAGCACTGCCAAACAGTCGATGCAAACCAATCAACCACAATTAAATGGATCTACACCATCTGCGAGTAAAGTAACAAATAACGAACTGGATGATGGACCAAAGACTAAAAAAGTACAACTTTCTACTCTATTTTATATGTTTGTAATTTTATCTCTTATAAAATTGAAAATGATTCGTTTAATGCTTTTAATATTCTTTACAGCGTAGAATACAAGAGAAGATAACTTACGATGATCTTGACCAGAGCTGTGACGTAACTACAAATAATGGAGCACCGTTAAATCTGACGCATATAGATAGATATCTGCACGGACCTGTACCAGGATATGGAAATATAGAACCAACCTCGGAAGAATTATTCATTACATTAAGTCATTTAAAGAAAGAAGCTTCTGGATGGATAGCCGGTAGTACGTTACCGCGGCAAGCAACGACTTCTTTAGTTAGTCCGGCCGCAGCGGTGTCAGCTTTGGGTGAATTGACACCCGGCGGATCCTTAATGAAAGGTTTCCGAGAAGAAAGCCTTGGACGTAAGATATCTTTAAAGTATTATATACCCTCGATGTTAAAAATGTAGCATGATACTTAGTCTGCTAATAGACCGTCATTCACGGACAACTACATTTTTTACATTCTTTAATAATCTGTGAAACTGGAGTAATACTTTATAAATACACATAAGTAAATAATTAAAATACACGTTACAGAGTTAATACCGAAGGATTTAGAGAAAGAATTACGTAACGTATACGTGTGCGCGTGTGAGCTATTGAAGCACTTTTGGCGAAGTTTTCCTCCGACAACACCACAACTTGAAGAAAAAGCGATCAGAACGCATGAAGCTTTACACAGATTTCATTCCGCTAAACTAAAACCGTTTGAGGTGAGTAGATGATTATTTATTTTTACGCGAGTTAAGTCAGTATGTATTAATTTTTACGAAATTTATTATTCCCTAATACAAATATCATTTCTCCTAGGATCGTGTGCAAAGAGAATTTTCTGCAGTTAGTCAGCACTTGACGAGTCATCTCAATCAATTGTTAAATACCGCGTATAGGAAGTTTGCAGTATGGCAACAGCGAAAGATGCAAATGAGGTAGCCCTTCATTAAAATCCCGTAAAGCATTAACGTAAATAAAGCAGCAATATTGGTCACATATTGCATTTCTTAATGTTACCGTAATTAGATATTAATATCGATGTATTTTACAAGAAGAGGAAAAAACCAAAGCTATGCCGGGTCTATGCGTCCTGGTACTACTACATATTGTTTATTTATTATTGTTTATAAACGTGTTTATAACTGTTTTTTAAATTTCTCTTCAAACTCATTCAAATCCAATTGCAGCCGATGATGTATCAACTCGCAATTATTTTTGTTAGAAAAATTTGCAGCTTATTTATTTACTTCTACGCTACGATACGTTTAAAAACACACGGACGAAACATTCTGAAAATATCTTCTTAAAAACTCACTGAAAAACGTAATGGATTTGTAAATTTATGCGCGAAATGATTTAGTTAAATATAGTCACCTATTGTTTACAATATGCGACTATTTTAGTTCAAGTTACAAATTGTGAGTGAGACGGGCGACTGCAAATATTGTACGATATCAAAGTAACTGTGATATCGCCACTGTACAATCAACAAGTTTGTTAATATAGTTTTTCGCCTTGATAATGCCTTTGTAATTACAATCTGCAGCGACTGTATTGATATGTACGGAACAACAATTTACTACAGTTTAATTACTTATTCTCTCGTCTTCTTATTGTCGTAATGAGCAGCGATTGAAATGATCTTTTCATCGTAATTGCGATCGAGTCAGTACGTTTAAATTTGCATCTCGACGACATTACAAATTTCCTATTACTTGTCATACGGAAGACACGGTGGCATTGGTATACTTTATATCTGCGATATACTCAACTAAGTATCTTAATTGTTGAATCCTATTTTTCTGTCGTGCTATCGGGTAAGGCAATCCGTTTCGTAAAATGCCTACTCGGTCATTACCGTAGCAATAAAATTTTGCAGTTGTAAGAATATAAATGGTACCTATCTCAGTTTATAACGAGTGATCGTACTCACGCATTATGCTATTATAATTATTACTGGGGGGGGGGGGTAATAATTATAAATATATTCTTACATTATAATTATAATAAATGTTATTATTGTGATGGCGAATTTTCAATATCAATATCCTCGATCTTCTCTTTGAGCCTACCTTTCTCGCTCTTCCCAGAGAATATTATGTCGTCTTAAAGACGTCTTTTTGACATGCGTAAGACGTCTTATGTCCCGATTTTCGACGTCTTTAAGACGTCTTGTAAACAAATCTAAAAGTCGTCCTCGAGACATGTATTATAGGCATATCGACTGATCTCTCGCAAGGTCGAATCTCGATATTACGCAATTGCTGGTTTTTGTACTTGGACCGCGGTCAAGCGGTCGTCAAAGAGTTATTTCCTCTTCTATAGGAATGAGAACTAAGTTTCTCTTTGAAGTCGTGATTACTACTTTCAAGACTCCTAGTATGTTAAGGAATTATGATTATTTTCCTAAAATTCTGCCGTTGATAGACCTCCTTATATCCTATTCTTCAACGATGTTTAAATGCGAGTTACTTTTAAAAATTATCTCCTAGCGGATTAATTTATGAATCTTTTGTGTTGGTAAGCAACTCCTTGAAAGTAATTGATACTTTAAGCTGTCAGTAATGTGACAGTTCTAGTTATGGTGGTTGTCACAACTGCCACAATCGTTATACACTATAATGCCTCTTTCAGCGATATCGAGATTACAAATGCAAAGAAAATAAATTTGTTTTTAATTCACATTTGCGTGAATACTATCTATACAAATTATTGAAAATGTTATTAAAGAAAAACATGATATGTAAAATGCAAGCTGACATTGCAAATGATATATTTTGTGTGAAATCTGTAAATCTATTGATAGCTTTATATTTTAACGCTATGCGTTTACTAACTTCGAATGCATCTAATTCAAAACTATTCAAAACTATCAAAGTCTGATTCTTGCCGCGATCGCTACGTACGCTCGGATCATGTGAGCGCGACTCGCCGTTCAGTCACCAGTGGTGCTGTCGTCGCCGTCACTGTCGCTGATGTTGCCGGTGCCGCCCGTGTATCGCGCGTTTCTGCCGTGCGGGGATTGCTCTCGCTCCTGTAGCCATATTTACACCGGTGTTGCTCACTGAGACGTCGTTGTATCTGGTGGTCTGGCGAGCGTCGCACTGTCTCGCGACGTTAAAATTTTGTCTTAAAATAATCTCAAGAGTTCATAAGTGTTGTTACAGTTTTCACGGGACACCCATATGCATTTAAATATTTTCTTTCAGTTATCTAAAATGTCTTAACTTGGCGCAAAACTTACTTTAATAATCAACAGGTTGCTGATTGACTTTCTTTCGATAAATCCGTTTGCTCGAGTTGAAACTGATTGCGTGCTCGAAAGCATCAAGTGGCTTCCAACTAACAAGAGAACATCTGTAAGACCTAAAGTAAAAATAAAAACGACTTTGTGAAACACTCGGTTTTCTACTACACTGGCTGGCGAATAAGCGGATTGTGATAAACCTAGAAAGGAATCGATCGATTTGTTTGAAAATCCCGCCTGGCGTGACAGCGGGGTCCGCGAGATTTATCCGAAGCAGACGGAAGATGGCACGGTCTATTGTTGCTCACGAGCAAAATGGCAGTCAGTAATAGTCAGCGATCGACGGTATGGAGCTGCGTTGTGCGCGGTGAGCATGGACGTCGACGCGCCGTTGGTTCTCGTCGCTAGACAACAAATGATCTCGCGCGGGGCCACCGCAGTGGTTGCAACGCGCGCCAAGTGGTGCTCGTAATGCGCGCTACTCGCCGCGATTGCTACGTACGCTCGGATCATGTGAGCGCGACTCGCCGTCCAGTGGTGCTGTCGCCGCCGTCGCCGCTGGTGCCGCTGGTGCCGCTGGTGCCGCTGGTGCCGCTGGTGCCGCCCGTGTATCGCGTGTCGCGCGTTTGCCGTGTGGAGACTGCCCTCGCTCCTGTAGCCATATTCACGCCGGTGTTGCTCGCCGAGACGTCGTCATATCTGCTGGCCCGGCGAACGTCGCACTGTCTCACGGCATTCGGCCCACCGTATGGTCGCGTGTCCACCGAGAGGCCAGCGTTGTCGTCGTCGCCGCCGTGCCGCCGAGTATGCGACGGCTGTTTCCCGCCGTCCCGTCGTCGTCGTCGTCGTCGCCGTCGCCGGACGCGAAGCACCCACGTCGATTGTCATCGCTGCCGATCGTAGCTGAGCGTCACGCCGAGTGTCACGGCGCGCCGAGGAACGCTCCGTTCGCGAGTAATCTCGGGGTCCCGCGATCGTCCGCGCGATCGTCCGTCGTCGCCCGCTCGAGCCCGGTCCCACGGTGCTCCGGAGATCCGCGATCAGCCGGTTGCGCCGCGCACCTATCCACTGTGCCTCGTCCCGGATCTTGTATAAGACGTAAGTCGATCCACGAGTCTTTTACCTTCCCTTTATCGTTCGCGCGATCGATCCTTTCGTCAACGTATCACCTTTATGTCACGGAATGCCATATGATCGCCTTTGCAAGTTGACAGAATTAATGAGAGTGGAAGGGACTGTCATTGCGGTTCGTCTTGCGTTGCCTAATTTTCCAATCATTTCACTGTCTGTCCTGTACCAAGTGTTTTTCAGAGTCGTATAAACGTATTGCATACGCAACATTTTTTTTATCCTTACCGGAGTACACAAAGAATACAGTATGATTCGGAAGTATTATATTTTCATGTCTTTTTCTAACAAACACTGTTGACATTGTTTATTATGAAACCGAACCAGCCAATATATAGTTTTGCTTTTCTTTTTTTTCAGAGAGAAATGGAGCCTTTGCCATGCTGTTAATTCTGCTTGGATGAATTTCTTATTACTGTACATTTACTTGAAATGTGTTTTTCAGTATATAAGTTACGAAAGAGTGGAAATAATTCTAAGGAAGTTGTGATAAAAGTTATGTTATGAAAGAGAATACCTTGGAGTGTACCTTGGAGTGTATCTTGGACATTGCCAATCAGGAGAATCTACTAAACTTATACCAAGCAAGGCACTATAGTGCCAAGCTTGGGTAATGGATCCCGTTGGTCCATGGTACACGTATAATCGTCTAACTGCTGGCAGCTCTACCGGAACATTTCAAACGACAGCGACTACAACTAGTGACTTTGTACCTCATCATTTAGCAACGGCTGCCACGCAGGCTGTGCCATCGACAACGACGTCGCAATTAATAATACAAGCGGCTCACACGACAGCAACTCTGGCGGGTCAACCGTCCCCTTTTAACCCGGGGGGGTTTTTATCTCCACCCTCTGTGGGTTACGAAGCCCTCACCTTCTCACCCCTCTTTCATTCTAACACTAAGCAGGCGCATTATGTTACCCAACACAGACAGGTACTTGCTCAGGCACAGGTATCTGCGACAAAGCAAAACACCACTGAATCCGATATCCCTACGTTGCGCGAGAATTATAGCTCGGCTCATCATGCTACGTTTTTCGAGCAGCAGGGAGCCTCGACGTCGCCTACGACATCGACATTGGCCTGGACGTCTCAGAACAATACGCAGCTCCCCAGCCCATTTGGTATCTTGCCACATGAGAGCGTTGTTCCCTCGTCTCCAGGCCCACCTTCTACAAAATCTGACGGTACTGGCTATGAGAACACGTTTAACGCCCATTTTAGTACGACGCAGACCATAAACAACATTAATGCATCTCAAATAACTACTCCGTCTGCGTGCAACGCCGATTTCAAGGCGTCTGGTTGTCCGACTGACACAAAAAAATCAATCAGCGCGAGACCTCAATCACCTACCGTTAATGTAAAGCCCACTATTTCCACGTCGCAAGTCAGCAGTAGTCAAACCTTCTTTCATCAAGTTCCAACTTTTAGTTCCGACACGCTGACCGATAGTTACTCAGGTGCTGGTAATGGAGGTCAGTCCGCGACTGAGAATGAAAAGATGCAGTCGTCACTGCAACATCAGCAATCGTGTATCGTGTCGACACCGAGCAAGGAATACAGAATACCGCAACCATCCTCGAGGTCGACTACGTCAACGACGATCTTTCTGAATGCTCCGGTGCGATCAGGCTCCACACAGGTCATTCAGGATAAGCAGGGAACGCGCAACGGTAATTTTGCGTCGCCGCCTAACAAAACGGCGTCCACCGCCACGACTCAGCAGAATATTCAGACCAAAGCGCAGACCAAGATTTATCCCGATCTGGCGAGCCACGGGATCGAGCACAGACGCAACGAGCAACAGGGACATGATAACAGTCAGTCATCCCCGATTAGTTTCTCCATCATGGAAAGTCGCAATTTGAATTATACTACAAATAGTACTACTAATTGCAACAACACCAATGGCAAGCTTACGAGCAACCAGAGGGCATCGTCTAACAGCAACTTGCAGTCCCATCCTCAGCAGCAGCAACAAACGTTTCATGTTTTGAGTCAGCAACAACAGCAGCAACAGCAGACCACATCATATAGACATTACTTGACAGGATCAACGAGTGATACGGAATATCATCATCCGGGAAGATCCAAGTCTGCAACCTCGACGGATTCCGCTTACTCGTCCAACACCTCGACGCAAAACGGACCCGACTGCAGTGTTGTTGTTCCGCGACGACCGAGTCCTCTTCAGACTCATTCGCAGGCTAGTCCCTTGGGTCACGTACCAAGTCCTGCATATCCCATGTATAACAGTCCGATGGCGACCATGTCATCACCGTCACCGTTGCAACAGCACGAGACCAACGGTAGTCAGTGCTCCAATGGTGCACCGTACAAGGGCGCAGTTACACAGCAAGTCGCTCCACCGTCACCTTTGGACGTCACCGTTCCCAGGCCGGCGTCCCAGGGACAGGTAGCTTACCCGTCTGTGATCACGCGAGCATTGGGCGTTGCGGAAAATAACAAGGCAGCTTACAATGCTGAGGGTAAAACATACGACAGGCAGCAACAAGACTTCTCGCAAACGCAAAAGCAACAGCAGGTCTGCTGGGAAAATGACAACCGGCAAACGGCGAATGGTGGCAACAGAAAGTTTTCCGTCTATACTGGTGCGAATGCGGCAACCAGCGACATAAATGCACAGAGCTTGCCGGTCCAGCAGCAAGTGCAGAGGCTTATGAATGTATCGACGGACAGACAGCAGACGTATTTCGAGGCCAATCAAGTAGCGCTGCAAGATTTGAGCAGCTGCAGGGGAGACCCGATGAGCATCGTAAAGAATTTACAAACGCTGCAACAAGGCCCCTGCTTACAACAACACACGACTGCCCCCGCTTCGGTTGGCACGGCGGAACAGCAAAAGCAGGTTGAAGAACGGCGAAAAGCTGATAGCGTCAATAAAAAGAGGAAAAATTTGGAAAAGGGCGGACATGGTACACCGTTGTCTAATGAGCTTACGGCTGGTACGACGATGACGGAATATCTTAGTAGGATACCTCCGCCCGCGCATCATAACGCGGCAAATCAACAACAGCAAAATGGTTACTTTGAGTTTGAACGGTGGAATTTACCGCCACCGACCGCTAAGATGTTCCCCGCCGCGTCCAGCGCCTTCGGCTCTCAGTCATCACTGCACCATTCGAGTAACTTCGTAGGTACTCCAGCTCATCAGCACCAGTCTTTAATGGTGCCGCACCATCATGCACCACCGCCCATTCCGTATTTTCCGGCTTTTCATATCCCCGCGGGTCATCATGCGCATCACTCGCACGACTTTCAGTCCTCGGTCGAAATAACGCCAATAGGATTCGGCGAGAACACCACGAGTCAAAACACCAATTATAATCAAGAGGTCAGAGATGATCAGCCTAAAGTAATCGTTCCTAATATTGAAGAAGAATTAGGTTTCCTTCAACAGGATCAGCAACTGAATGTACAGAATATGAATCAAATGAACAAAGATTTCAAACGGCCCAACAGAGACCCTAATACAGGATTTATGACAAGCTATTTGAAGTTTCTGCAAGGTGAAAGGGACCCTTCTCCGCCACCCGCTATACGTGGTGGTAGGAAAGCCACATGGAATAGGTCAAAACCATATATACCTGTCGAACCGAGTAAACCTGTGGAAGCTTCGATTAACGGTGAGAGTGTTAAACCTCAAGAAAAGCCGGTATTAGTAAAGGAGACGTCAGTTAAGGAAACACCGGCGATAGATTACGCTAATGATCCTAGATACTTTCCTCTACCGAAAGAAAGGAAAAAACTAAATTTTGATTCGAGCGATGATGGGTTTACTAGTGACGATGATTTTCCATTTCCTCCTAAGAAAACGGAAAAAAAGGTGCAAAATGTAAATAGTGCAAGCAATATTGAAGTTGTTGCTGTTAAACCAGAAGGAAAAGGTAGGAAGGGTCGGCCTATTAAGCCTGGTGGACCCACGGATAGGAAAAGAAGAGCGGCAGCAGCAGCTGCAGCGGCGGCAGCAGCTGCAGTAGCAGCAGAAGCAGAAAAGAAGTCTTTGAAGAAAACTGAAGAAGGTAATATAAATGTACATTTTTAGATATATCTTTTTTCAAATTAATACTTTACTCCTTTGAAAACATACGTATATTGTCTTGCACAGTGGATCCTTTGCTTCTTCCTCCTAGACGCGAAACATCAAGAAGAAAGGCAAAAGAGAAAACGTCAGTAAAACAATTTTTAGATCGTCAACAGGGTATAGATTATTTCGATAATGATGAGGAACAGGTAGATTCCGATTCCGATCCAGCATGGACACCTGCTGTAAAATTGGTTGGAGATGAAGAAGAGAAAAGGAAGAAACGTGCAAGACCTGTCATCACGAAAAAAATTAGAAAGATGCTGGAAGAGGACGGTTATTCGTCCGGGGAAGCGATTATTTCAAAAAAATCAATGAGGAAAAAGCATGAAACGTCTTCAAAAAATTCTAATAGTTCCGCCAAACTTTCTTGCAGAATTGATGAAAAATTAGTAGCAGCAGCAAGTGACGAAGATATTGATATCTCGCCATTTAAGGTATCTAATATATTCTGTAAAGATCTTTTAGCATACTACATTGACTATGTCTTATGAATAACAAATTAATATCTTATCATATTTTGCATGCAGCATTCGATAGACATCTCAGAAGACGCGGTAATTTTTAATATTCTTTTTACTATTTACTATTTTTTACTTAAAACTAATTAAAATTTGTTAAAAGAATATGTGCGCAGTAAATTTGTCACACAAAAGACTTATCTTTTATAATAATATCTTCGTGTAATTGAAATATATTATAGTACTGAATTCAACAGAAAATAATAATATTTTTCTCTCTACTTTCTAGGCTGGTGAATTTGTCGTGATCAAAACAGACCTAGATGAAGAAGAAGATCCTCCTCTCTGGAGGATAGATGGCAAAACATTACTTCAAAAGTATCAGCCATTCAAATCCAATGGGAAAACTTTGTACAAAAACATACCTACGGTAAAAAATTTAATTAAACATTTTAGAATATCACTATTTGATAATACTAAGATTTTATTTTCTTGTAGTATTCTGCATGGGTTTCACAAAATCGTCATATATATCAACAAGTGCCGGTGAAATTCTGGCAGCAGGGAAAAACAGAAACAATTGTGGAATTTTTGAGGGATGAAATGATTATTGATGACAGGTAAATATTTAATATAAAATATGTTTCGATGGATTTTGTAAATTCTTACATTTCTATTTGTTTATAGTGAAAACATTGATAAGTATATGAAAGAAACCGAAAAATATCAAGACAATTTTGAAGTATACATACAGACATTAATTTCGCAAGCTTTGGATTCTAATTTTCTCACTGAAATATTTCAAGAACAAGGTAGGATGAAATTAAACTGGTGTTCCTTATTATTGTTTTAAATATATATCATGATGGAATAATAATTATATATGTTCTTTATTATTGCTTAGATGATTATTTTCTATCAAATGTTAAGGCTGTCGATGAAATAACAGAAGAAAGAAAACGTCGTCTTTTGTTTACAACCAAGTGGAAAACAAGTGTTGTGACAGCAATATCAACATGGCCGTGTGTTAACGTCCTTAAAGATCTGCCACCATCGGAATACAAAGGAAAATTTTGTGCTGGTTGTCAGCAAGTAAAAATCTATGCAAGAGTTTTGCTTTATGGACAGCCATACAATGGCACTACGTTAGAAGGTTCGCCACCCGATCCAAGAATACCTCACGAAAAAGTATGATATACAAATGAAGTACATAATAATGGAATTTATTAGATTTTAATTTCTATTTATCTTTGTCTTATGTTTTTTTTGTAGGACTTTTTGTTGTGCCGTATTTGCCAAAAAAAGGTGGCCTTGTATAATAAGGTAGCTCATCAAAAATATCTAATGTTTTTGGAATGTGCAAGAAGAGTGGCAGATAAAAAGGTGGACGATCCACATAAAGACACTACAATAATATTAAACGAATTATTAGCAGATGAAACGTGGCTAAATCATGTAAGTTTACCTTTGTTTTATTCAATTATAAATGTTTTACTATCTTATCAATATTGTAAATTATAAATAATATATAATGTTATTTAAAAAATTAAAAATAACTGTGCTTTTCAACAAAGGCAAATTTTTCTTTTTCTTTTTTAGCTTTTTAAAGAAGTGAGAAGTATTTGGGCTGAAATTGATAGCATGGAGCAGCAAGCCAAGGTTAAAGCAAAAATAAAATCAAAAGCAGCACTGTCGTCATCAGTAAAGCAGCATCATAGAGCAGAGACAACAACAAGTGCTCCTACTGTACTTATGTCTAAAAGGACTGCTGATAATATTTCTGATTCACAGGTGCCTATACAGAATACCGAAAATAATCCCCAAATAATATCTAGTGACATGATGAACAGTGAACCATCTTAGTGGTATTATGATAACTGCTTACAACTAATAAAAAACGATTCAATTAATAGTTCGGTGATACATTTAATAACACACACACACACAATTGATGTGACACATGTCACACTAATATCAATCAAATGGACATTTTATTATAGTAACAATGAAAACCTTGTATAGATATAGATATATACTATGAGACATGATCGCGAAGTGTAACCAAGAAACTATAGTTGTAAAAATTGTGTGCGTGCGTTTAAGTAAATATGAGGAAATTCATATGTACACATGTGTAAGTATACCAAGCATATGTAACATATTCATATTTGGTACAGAGGTTTAGCTTTATCCCAGATTTTGCCATTATAGCATAATGATAGCATGATAATTATTATTATAGCAAAAACTAATATTCATGTGAATATAGACAAATAATTTAAACTTTGTATCATGATCATCTTATACATAAGCTCTAGTATATACAGGATGATTCTTATTAAGTGACCGATTTAATTATCAATGAAGATATATGGAAAACTGGTTTATGCTCACATATTCAGTGTACTGAAATGGAACATCATATGGTGGAAACGATTCTATAGGTGGAGGCGCGCGTTGAGGACATTGCAAGGTTAACTTTATGTTTTTTAATAAAAGGTTATATTTTTTATTTCATAATATCATAGCACTTTTTAAGACAAGTTTTATAGTATATGACATAAGAACATTCAAGGTCACAAACACAGATGGTCACAAACATGTGGCCACCTCGTTTACCTGACCTTATATCCCTAGATTACTTTTTATGGGAATATATCAAATATTGTATACCCTCCAATAACTTGTGATAATATGATTGTTAAAACACTGGCAGCATTAGCATCGTAATAATATGATTGTTCAAATCACTGGAAGCATTGGAAAACGTTCCATTACATGTACTAAGAAGAGCAGTGAATAATTTGACACATAGGATTTATCTGTGACAAGTCTAAAGTCAAAAGTTTGAACATTCATTGTAAATGAAAATACAAAATACACAATTAAACTTAATTTTTCTATATGTTTGTGTGACCTGACTGTCCTTATATAATATACTATTGAACTTGTCTTAAAAAGGGCTACCATATTATAACAAAAAAATATTCCATTAAAACAATAAAGTTGACCTTGAAATGTTCGCAACGTCTCCACCCATAGAATAATCGTTTCTATGATGTCCCTTTTTGTACTGAACATGTCGGTAAAAACTAATTTTCCATGTCTTCCAATTTCGCTGATAATTAAATCGTTTATATATATATGATGATGAGATCTGAAATATGTTGACATATTACGATAATATGGTGCATCAAATGTCACAACTTTCTCAATCATATTTGCATTGTGTTTTATTAAATCGAAATTATGATTCATTTGTGGCTCTATATTACTTTTTCAGGAGGGTCCCGTTAGCACACAGCCCGATAGCACACATCCGCTTACATCAATCGTCGCCTAGGAACTTTCAAGTAAACCACCAATCAGAGAATGTTATATTAAATTAACCAATTGGCGATGTGCGCTATCGGATCCCTCTCTGTTTTTCTAGGTATTTTGTATAATTATACAATTATTTACATACAGCTTTCTTTACAGAATTATTTACAATAAGTATACAGGGTGTCTGACGTAAAAGTACCCTTACGAAAAATGATGGTAGATTGGGTTGGTCGAAGAAGAAAAGCCATGTACCATTTTACAAAAGGGGGTACTCTTGCGTCACACACCCTGTATATTGTTTATAATAATTTAATGAATACAGAATTTGTAATTGTCTCAATTTTGTCTTGCATACATACATATATACATACATGTGTATATATATATACACATATAGGATGAGGCAATAACTTTGTCCACCTCGAGTATCTCCGCTATTTTTAGAAATATTAAGAAATTGTAGTTACGATTGTTATAGGATATTAAAAGAGCCATAATATGCTCGCAATATTTTTTCAGTAAGTGGAGGTGATTTGTAGATCTCAAGGTTACCTCCATTTTTTAAACGGCATGTTATACATTTTTATTCTTAGTGCAATAGCGTATGTTGAGATGTTCTCAATGACCTATAATAAATTTGGTTATTCGCATTAAATGAAGTAAAATAATGATTTTTATCTTATAAGAGATGCTCGAAGTGATGATTGTTTACAATTTACATCGATGCAACATTGCAATCTCAGAATTCCTGAAGCATGTACACTTCTTAACACTTCTGGACTGATTTTTGCACATGCAAAATACTTTGTATTTTCTGGCATGGTCTTTCCTGGTACAATGTTGGAGATATACAATATTTGTGTTGTACGTCAGATAAAATATATTTACATTTCTTACTACAAATTTTAGAGTTTTAGAGAAACTAAGAGATCTTTGACTTTAGTATCAGTAGATCTTTCAGAAAGTGAGATTGTTCTTTCAAATGGAACACTCCTTCGATTGGGATAAACTTTTGCAGATGATTTTGTTACGATATTTAAAGATTATTTATCAAGGTTCTTCGGGTTAGCTATAGTTTTCTAGATTCCAGCCTACAATGGATAAACCTGCATAAAAATTGAACTAAACTGATTAAATTAAAAATAGGCAGTATTTATTGACCATGTCTGGCAAGTTTGATACAGTTGATATTCGCAACGTTTCGACCACAATTTTTGGTCCTTATCAAGCGATAATGTGTGTGAGAGAGAGCCTAGGAGTTGGTTTCTCGAGACTCAGAGTATGACTGATTAAATTAAGCTGAACTAAAGTAATTGTTACTCTGGGCAGTTTTTTATAATAGTTGTCAGTATCTTTATTCATTTTTAATCCCTTTCTAAGCGGTAACAGAGATGTTACCAGCGTGAATGTCATTAATGTCAAACAGTTGAAGCCTCTTTAAAGTTAAAGAAAGAGAAGTTAAAGTTAAACATCTAATTGACTGAAGAAGAATGACATTGTCAAAGTAAAATTTAATAAAGAAATGAGAGACAGTTTGAAAAAATAATCAGAATGCATTGTAATATCTACCAATTTAGTAAGAATAGATGAAGATGAAAAGTAATATAAAAAATAATAATGTATTAATTTATTATTCAATAATTATTTATTTAAAAAAATTATTCAACTCTTAACTAATAATATAATTATAATAATACAATTATAAACTACATTTCGTACTGAAAGCAAGAGCTCTTGTGGAACAGACCTCGCTTTGCCTGGAAAGTTGCAGATAGTTATTCAGTTCAGCTTTCTTATCTCTAACATTGATGAAATTGGACTCATTCGACGCGTTCTCACCCAAAACAAAAGAATCTAGCAGAAAACAGTGTCGCTCTATCCCGTGAAATGAGATATACGACACGAGTATGCTTTGCGGCCACATACCACATGTGCATGCGTTGTAGTTGTCGTTAGTAAAGAAGTCGAAATTTGAAGTCAATAATATATTAAACTAACAAGAATATTCTTCAATGTCGCCAGCATTAACAACGTCAGTGTTTTTTTTTACCATATCTGACATTGTTAATCTTTAATGCTCGCAATGTTTTAACCATGGTTTGTGGTCCTTTTCAAGCAAACTAAGTCATGTCATGGATGTAAAATTATGTGTATATCGCTCGTCCATACGAGATTGTGTTTGTGGTCGCATAAATGTTGCACATGTTCTATATAATTGTGTGATAAGAGACAACTTCGTTCGAGGAGTAACAAAGGATCAATAATATATCTTTTTAATAAAACTGTATATTAGTGTATTAAATCTTCGTTTTACTAAATAAATGAGTCTACTATACTAAAATTGAATACTGAAAAGATTAGACAGACCCCTACGCAAGGTAGGGTGCTACTTTAAATCTTTGCCTTACTAAAAAAAATGAGTTGATAAATAATCTTTAGATTTCGTAGCAAAATCGTTTGCAAAGGTTTATTTCAATCTGAGAGATGTCCCATTTGAAAGTACAACCAAAAGTGATTAATTCATGTTAGATTAACTCTCCTGCGATTTTGGTGATAAGTTTGGTAACAAGTGCGAAAATAAAAATTTCATTTACTGAGCAACTGGATATGTTCCTCATTCATGGAGAAGCTCACTAAAATTCAATAGCCGCGAAAATCTGGAAGTGTTAAGAAGTATACGTGCTACAGGATTTCAAAGACTGCAATATTGTATTGACGTAAACGGACATCACTTTGAGCACCTCCTTATAAGACAAAAATCATAATTTTATTCCTTCATTTAAGGTTCTTGGGCTCGCCACGGCCGTGTTGGAAATCATGACGTCAGAAGCGAGAAATGACGCTGAGAATTTTTACGCTTTATAAATAAGATATTTGTGTGAATAAAAAGAGATCTCCAAAGTGCCTCCACTTACTGAAAAAATATTGCTAGCATATTATGGCCTTGATATCTTACAACTTTTCGTAATTACAATTTTTTCATATTTCTAAAAATAGAGATATTTGAGGTGAACAAAGTTATTGTCTTATCCTGTATATGTATATATACACACATACACATGAGGTGTCCCGCGATGACCACCGTAATATTTAGATAGAGCGCGACAAACTAAATTGAGAAGTCCCATATTGTGCAAAATTTACAATTTTCGAGTAATAAATAAAAACATCTAGGCAAATGAGTGCACGAGCAGCAGTAGGCCAGACATTAAATGGCTTATTTGTTTAGTTTTGTAGCAGTTAGGGACGAGCGGTGAGCATCTTCTGAAGCTTGCCGCTCGCTGTGTGATAACTTTTTTCCAGCGCGCTGCTCCACCTCCCGCTATCCCGATACTCATTGTTGCTACGAGACTGAACAAATAAGACATTTAATGTCCGTCTTACTGCTTCTCGTGCACTTATTTGTCCAGGGGCTCTATTCTATACACGGTTATCGACAACTATCGATATTGTTAACGACGTTTGCGCAGCTTTTCGAAAAAAAAGCTGCGTAAACGATATCGATAGTTGTCTGTAACCGTGTATGGAATAGAGCCCCAGACGTGTTTGTTTATTACTAACAAATAATTCTGAATTTTGCAAAATGATATAAGACTTCGATTCAGTTTGCCTTGCTCTAAATTTTATGGCAGATTTGGTCATCGTGGGACACCCTGTATGTATACATATGCATATAAATATATAAAAGTGTATGTATCTACATATGTATAATTATATAAAAACAAAAAAGCAAGTGCTGTGAAACTAAGTAAAGTGCATAGTGACGCTAAATCCATGCCACCATTATTTGACAAATACAATTTTCTTGAAAGATCTTAATGCATCTTGCAAAATTGATATATTTACCTATAAAAGAAGTCTATACTTAATGCTAATTATGTTTTTGTTGTGTCATATTTCATACAATGATACATTCAATACGTTTTTCTTCCTGTGTAACATAACGCGCGGTTCTAGCTACGTTTATACTTGGCGCGAGACACTGCCGTGTCTCGTGATGTGTGTGTGCAAATTCTTCCGTGTTAGAACAATTTACATATAAATAAATTTGAATTTTGGTTGATGCATAAGTTCGTCCTGTTATGAAACCAAAAAATTTCATACTCATTATATTTTGTCGATATACATTTAATCAGTGATATATGCAATCTCATGAGTTTTTTTTTTACGATTACCTAAGGCCAAGATTTCGTGACTGTCTTTTTCTTGAGAAATACAGATGAAAATAATTTTCAACCAAGAACAAACAAATTATATATTTAAAAAAATTAAAATTATTTTAAAATTAACATTAAAATTATTTTTCTGAAATTTTTAGTCTTTATTTACAAAATAAATGTCGAAAAATCAAAGCTTGTTATTTATCTTTAAGTTAAAGCAAAAAGAAATATATGAAATACGTTAAGATCTTCGAGTACTTTCCAATAACAAATAGAGATTTTTAAATAGCGCAATAAGAATTTTATTATACATTAAATATTGCATACATTAAGTGACATTGTGCTTACGATATAAATTCAATTAGTAATCATTATTGCATCAATATTATTATTGATGTCATTGTTTAAATCTTTAACTGTTTAAGTTTTTAAGTTGTTTCCAAATTTATTAGAAAAAACAATATACTTTAACGAGCGAATTAATCTGTATTTATGTAGTGCAAATGTATTTTTTTTTTAAACGTACGAAAATATGGTTGTAAATTGTAAAAGTATGATTGAGTGACTGATGATATAACTGCTGTATATCAACGAATTACAAAACAAGAATTATATAGGTATCTTTGATATATTTCGATGACTTAAAATTTGTTGTATTTTAATGACGATTCCTGTGACATTGACTATACAATATCGGATAGTTTAAATTAGAGCAAGAGCTAAAGTAGGGGCATTTGAATAGTGACACAGAACATTTGATAAATAAAGTACATTGCTATGGAAGTTTTCCTTTTTAGCGAATGTGCCATGCAATAGTTTATATCAAATGTAACTCATATTGCGTGCGATAATTTAATGTAAATCGATCACTAGTAGATTGGATTCTGTTTCATAAGGTTGCGTTATTATACACATAGTACTCATTTAAAATACGATACACGGTTAGCAATATTATATGAAGCTAGGCTATTAGTATTATTGTTACATTAGTTTTCCTGTAGAAACACATTTAAAGATATAGGCCTGTATTCTGAACCCTCTTGTATCAATAAACGCGCCTCTAAAAGTGGTTAATAAGCTTTCTGAGTGGCGATAACCCACTTTTAGAAGCGCTTTTATTGATAAAAGAGGATTCAGAAAACTGGTCATAGTTTTGTTCAATTGTAAATTGTTTAATGCTTTCTTCCATTCGCGCAACTCAATTACGGAGAATTATGAACCGTTATGAAATGATGTAGTAGTTTCTTTATTGCAATCATGAAAAAAAGATTGATCAAAATATATCATAGTGAAATGCCACACACACGCGCGTAAATTTGATGTATGTGTGTGTGTGTATCGCATAATTTATGTTTTTAATAATCATTTTTTAATAAAAAAAGAAATTTATAAAATTTGGTACGATTACAGTGATTTTCAATAACCTTGAAATATATATAAGTGATTCACACAAAATAATACTCATTAATTATAACCCAAAACACCTAAATTTTTTTATAATAAAAATTGAATGGTACGACCATCGACATATGGTACTGGGCGGATCATCAAACCAAAATCGTGTTTCCAGACGCAGAAAGAGACAAGACGATGAATTTTAACAAAATCTCTACGCATCTCACTTATTTAAATTCACAGTGTCCATTAATGCGGTGTCCAAAAATGTAGTGTTCAATACTAACATATCCAATCACGCGGTGTCCAATAGTTAAGCGGGGAGCACACACTTTTGCATAAGTGCATTATAAGCATATGCATAACGAATTTGATTGGTCTGTAAAAGGCCTTGTTGGTCTGGTTTGGTTGTTGGCTCCCGATCCATCCACTAGATCGACACGGCCACCTGTAAAGGCCTTCACACATAAAATTCCGTAAGGCTGGATTCAGACTGAACGCGATGAGCGATGAGCGACGAGCGATTATCCAATGGGCGAACAGGTTACATGGGAAAGCTGTACGCCCATTGGATATCGCTCGTCGCTCATCGCTCATCGCGTTCAGTCTGAATCCAGCCTAAGGCTGATGGCAGACAACTATCCGTTAGGCTGGGTCTACATTGGATGTCGTAAGTCGTGTCGGAAGAAATTGACCAATCGCAGTTCATTATTCTTCGACCGTAAGGAGAATAATGAACTGTGATTGGTCAATTTCTTCCGACACGACTTACGACATCCAATGTAGACCCAGCCTAAGGCCTCTACAATGAACGCAAACGCACGACGCCAGACCGCAACGCGGGAAATCGGCCAATGACAGTCGAGCATTCTTTTCATATTTGACCGCGATTGGTCGATCTCTTGCGGTGCGGCATAGCGTCTTGCGTTTTGCGTCCATTGTAGAATGAGCTTCACACATAAAATTCCGTAAGGACGTAAAACGTAAGCATAAGAAAATCGACCAATCACAATCGAGAACGTAAGGCAATAACGCAAGCAGTAGCAAATCCAATCTGCTTACGCTTACGTTTTACGTCCTTAGGCTGATGGCAGACAACTATCCGTAAAGCCCGTATCAGACTACGGATTGGGATTGGGATTAGATTGAAATTTGACCAATCGGAGTAAAAGTTACTGAACTTGGGATTAGTAAACTTTACTGTGATTGGTTAAATTTCAATCTAATCCCAATCCCAATCCGTAGTCTGATACGGGCTTAAGGCTGGGTCTACATAGGATGTAGTAAGTCGTGTCGGAAGAAATTGACCAATCACAGTTCATTATTTTTCGACCGTAAGGAGAATAATGAACTGTGATTGGTCTATTTCTTCCGACACGATTTACGACATCCAATGTAGACCCAGCCTAAGCAAATGCACAAGGAAATGGACCAATCAAATTCGTTATGCATATGCTTATGCACTTATGCAAAAGTGTGTGCTCCCCATTTTACGGGTTCACACACACAAATAGAGGTTACCCAACTTAACATCATGATGTGAGCAGCTGCAGCTGCCTCGTTCTAAAATTTATACAAGTTTTCTTCGCGGGATAAATAGGGAACGCGCAGTCCATTGTTATGTCTATGTCTATGGATCACTTACAAACCTTTTAATGACACTTTATACCTATTCATACAAAATACAAACGATTCCATTAAAAACTGTTTAATTTATCTATTCCGGCTAAATGCTGGGTGAAAAGTAATTATTTACAAATAAACGAATAAATCACAAACCTTTTAAATTGCACTTCAAACATTTTTATCCAAAATATAAACAATTACAAATAAAAGTTGTTCAAAAATACGTTCTTTTCCGATTAAGTGCAGGCGAGCCGCTCCTCGAATGCACTTTAGGGTGGTGTCATGTGGAGCGTAAAGCCTATCACACAATGCCAGGCAACAGGCAATAGGAACAGGGAATAAAATTTCTGCCGCGTTGGATTGGTTGGATGTAAATTTCCAACGAATCCAACGCGTCATTTTTGGATAGTGTAGTGAGTGATCTAGTATGTACTCTAATCTAGTGGTATATAAAAATTGAAACATATGATTCATTTTTTTCTAATTTTATAGTATAGTAGTGTATTTGTTTGCTGCCACAAAATACGAAACGTGTGTAACTTTTGTCGTTGCAAAGGTGTAACTTGAATGAACAAAAAAACCTACACAAATGTTGCAATAATGAACTCATTATTTTATTATTTGCTTTTTGTACTATGATACTTGATAGTTTTCTATAACAATGTCTAAACGATCTGAGGAAAGGATTACAGATGATTATCGTTTGTCTGCCAAACGAAAAAAAATTGATACTCCTGATGACGAAACTCTGGAATATCACAAAGCACAGAAAAAGATCCTTGCAAACAAAAATTCTCACAATGATGATCCTTGGGGTGACGATTTTGACGAAGAACAAATCGAGGAAATGGATCTAATTGCTTCTCAAGCTTGTGTACAGGTACTGTTACTAAAGAAAGGTTAGGTTTAAAATATATGTATACGAATAATTTTTGTAATTCGAATCTTTACTTTCAAGGAAGCTAACGTGTCAAATAATTTGAAACTATTTGAACATGATCCGAATTTAATAAAATTTGGTTCTTCAGAAAGAGCTGCAACTGCTTATAATGAAACTTCTTGTTCCAAATTATCATGGGCTGTACAAAAGCCTAAGTTACGGTTGCTGAAAAAGACTGTACAGACTATAAGTCAAAATAGTCAAGATGTAACCGAGATTAACTATTCTCAGTTCAGAAAGAAATTAATGCATAAAGAAGATCATAATTCAACTTTTCAGAAAGACCTCATTGTACAAGGTAATACTGTTATAGAAATACGAATGATTACAAGTATTCTTATTTGTTATTTGTTTTATATATTTATAGATGATAAAGAGTTAGAAAAATTGAAAACTGACAACAGAAAACTATTAAATGACTTTATAACAAAAGATGGCGAAACTACATTTCTACGGCAGCAACTACAACAAGCTCAGTTACGAATTGAAAATGAAAAATTAGAAAAAACACGTTTAATTGAAGAACAAGCCAATCAATATAGATCCGAGATCAACAAAATTTATAAACAAAAGGAACAACTAAAGACGCAGTTAGAATTACAAGTGAGTATTTTTTTGTTACATTACAAAATTGATATTGTCAAATAATATATAACATGATCTATCAACATAGAACCTAGAAGTAGGAAATCTTCAGGAACGTTACAAATTGTTAGAATCTAGAAATATTAAATTGAAGGAACCACAAATATTATGTATGAACGCTTCTGTTGATAAATGTAAATATGCTACCCCAATAAATTGGTAAGATAATATTTTAAAGAAGTAAAAATCCAAACTGTTTGATATTTTTAAGTATATTCATGTAATTCATGCGTAAACAGGACCACAAACGCGAATAGAATTATAAAAGGGAAAGAAGCATGTGTACAAACTAATATTTACAAGAAAAGTGATTATCAACTTAAGACATATAATACTTGTGAGTATATTAGAAAGTTAGCTACAAAGTTATATATTTTTATGATAATTTTGTAATATTGCAAATATTTTTCAGATTTTCCTCTTGCAAGAATTTCAGAGTTGACCTTTGGAACATCACTACCAGAAAAATCCATTGTTAATATTAAAGTCATAGAAAAGACTGGTAAAAGAAATTTACCTATTTTACAAGAAGAAGAAACATTTCGAATTTTTGGTAAATATTTATGAAATTATTCTGCAAAAAAGACTATATTAATATAGTCAGTCATTTTCATTATATTTCGTCATGTTGTAGAAAACCCAGAATTAGTGAAACCAGTAGTTACTACAGTAAATGGAAAAAGATTGACAACAGAATTTGTTTTATTTGAGGTTGCAGTCATTGAAAGGAGAGTTGATACCGAGATAGAATCAGAAAGATGTATACCAATAATCAACAAGGTATACCAATATGTCACAATATCTCAATACTTGAATTTATTTAAATATAATACAATATTCACAATAATACGAAATTAGTCATGATAATAGTACATTAGATTTAAATATGCATGTGCGCGCACGTACATATATTTATGTGTGTATGTTCGTGTGTACACATAACACAGAGAAAAAGAGTTAAAAGAAAGGTTTCAGGACTTTAACAGCAGATAGTACTTGTGAAATGGAGCAAAAAAGTCTGAGTAAACATATGTCGAAAAATTAATATTTTCGGAATTATAAATAATCGGGAATTTTCGAAAGAGTTTGCAATTCTGTGATACAAAGGTATAAAGCATGTGGAAATGGGAATAGGACATGTAGAAAACCTTTTGTAAACTTTGGAGTGGGAAGAATTTTTTTCTTCTTTTGAATAAATGTTAGTTTTTTTACCTATGTTTATCAGGATTTTTTTGCTCCATTTCACGAGTATTATTTGTCCTTTCTCTGTCCTGAATCCTCTTTAACTGCGCGCGCGTGCGTGTGTGTGGTTTATTTATTTATTTATCTATTTATGTGTTTTAGTTGGTTTTAACTACAAGAGAATTAGTATTGAATATTATGACAGTTCTGGAAACAATTTTTCAAGCTATGAAAAATGATGATATTCGGGATATGAACGATTTATATTTTTCTGCGGTTTATAAAGATCACAATATATGTATTGAATCTGAATGCGAAACAGATGCATGGCATGAAAGAGAACGTGGTATCGAAGCTAAAAGATTGCTCGATATACTTTCGTACATTAGTATTGAATCATCATATTTAAGTAATTATGTAGCAGGAAAGTCACAATTACTTACAAGCAATGATGAATGTTACAATCATTACCTGCAAGAAATGACACGATATAATACATGGCCAAAGAAAGGTCATGAATTTGAAATGCTTGAAATTATCTTAGAATGTGTTACTTTAATAGAACGTGTTGTAAGTATACATTTAATTTTTAAGATATTATTTTTATTAATTTTTAATAGTTGATAAACATTTAATAAATATTATTTGCAGAGAAGATCTCATCAATTTACAGGTCTTATAAATGCAATTGTAAAACTACTGTGTAATGTGCAACAGAAAGTGGGCTACTGTGATAAAGGGTATACCAATATTATCACTGTGATTATTTTAATGTTTATAGATTTTATGTAAATTTTATTTATTTTCCAGATTAGAATATATCTATCTCATATTCAAAGAACTTGTATTTTCGAGACCATTGCCACTTTGTTATGTTTCATTAGCAAATTTTATAATGGTCTTCAGTAAATGTAGCCTGTTTGTATCAAAACTTTGCACAAATTCGCGTAAGTATATTGGATATGGTTGAAAAAAATTAATTTGTTTATATTAATTATCATTATTTTAATAGAGTTAATGACGATAAAAAGATGGAAAGGAGTATTACACTTTACCCCAGGTATATTATGCTTCAAAATAAAGATATATACATTTCTTCATGATATATTTTCTTTTCAAAAGGACATTTCTAATAATAAATATTTCTGTATTTCAGATGCTTGTGTCTTACAAATTTTTATGGCACAAGTGGAACATTTTGATCCAGACTTTCTCACTATAGTAAACATGACATATGCATTAATATCATCTGTATGGCATATCCTACAGAAGAATAATTTATTAAGAAATGAAAGTTCAGGATCTTGTAACTGCTATACAAAATTACTACAATTTATAATTAATATGTTAAAAAAATGTTCTGAAAGCAAATTAGATATAATTGATAATACTGAGACACAAGAGTTATTTTACTTTTCTAAAAAGTGTTATATCTTGAAGAGAATTAATTACAAAGATCATACACGTCAGATAAGATATAATAAACAGAATGTAAAGAAAGATTTGGCAGAAACATATTCAGAAAAGTTAGATTGTAATTTTTTGTGTAATATTAAAAAGATTCATTACAAAGTATTGAGACAAGGCATCAGATTTTTATGTCATCTTGCGATTTGTGATCCTGATTTTGTCATTCGTTTTTCTAATATTGAAGATTCATTTCATTTATTTATACAAAACATCGCCTTTTTTGATGATTTGATACTTCAAGAAAATGAGCGTAAATATCATAGTGCATCTTATATATGTATATTATTATTTCTCTTAATGCATATACAGATAACGTTTATTAAATACATATAATATTACTGTTTTAGGAGAAGCATTAGATCGCATAAAAACCACGTTCATCATCGATAAAGGTATACAATACGAAACTGAAACACATTGTGAAAATACACATGTTGGTCAATTACATATGACAAATTTTAAAAAGAAAGTAATTCCTACAGCTGAGAGGAATAACCACACTGGACCTATCGAAAATTATAATAGAGCATATATGGCTATTAAAACATTGTATAATTCTAAATATATATACAGGAACAATTAAATATACTAACTTTTCAAAACTGCATTTACTATTACTTCGTTAATAATTACTATTACTTAAGTGTTTTTTTAATATAGAGATATTTACATAGAATTATACAATACAATTATGTATGCAGATACATCTCATACACAATTTGGCGTAATTATATACAACCATTTATACATATATAATTATGCGCGTTCGTAAACTCATCAAAAAAAATTGTGTCGCAACCTCTGTACATACATAGGGTCTGTTCTTTATAGCTAAACTGGCTGCACTAGTTTAGAGTTTATCTTTCTCCTTGTAATGCGGAGGGAAAGAGATAAACTATGAACTAGTGCAGCCGGTTCAGCTATAAAAAACAGACCCATACATACATATATCCTGAATCACGTGACGAGCTGGCGACGTGGTGAGTCTAGTTTACATCGTATGTATGACATCTATGACATTGACTTCTATGCAATTCAAAGCATTTAACCAACAATCAAGAGTAATTGACAAGCGTTAGTGTCAGTCAGAGTATAACTAGTAGCAACGAATTAAGAAAAATGGTCCTAGAGGATTATAAAGAAATTGTTGGACTTTGTGCCATGTATACTACGATGGCACATATGCTGTCCGGAACGTAAGTGTGTTAGATTATTTATTGTCTTTCTCTATTTTGTGCTAACTCGTGTACTTACGTAATCAATATATACATCAATTAATACGTATGTATTATTTTGAATGATATAAGGAAGAATTTTATTCTGAAATGCAATGAAAATGATGTGAATGCATTCTTATTTGTAAATTAACTATACAATATTTTTTAAATTCTAGTTTTATACAAATATTCATTGGCCTCTATAAATATTAAGAAATATTTACAAAGTATTAAAAAATGTTAGATATATTGGGTGTTTTCCAATAACGTACACAGGTGACACTGTGTAACACAAATAATCGTTTTATCTTTGTTATTTGCCGTTGCTAGACAAGAATGAAATGATTCTGTGTTACACTGTGCCAATCTGTGTCACCTGCTGGAAAGCACCCATGAGTATTCATTTAGTATTTAATGACTGTTGTTATGTTGTGTCAATGTAGTGCTGCGATAACAATTTCATCATTATTTTATAATTTGTTAGTTTAACACCCGCTTATTGAGTTACAGCACAAAACGTTAGATATAATACAACAAGAAATTTAGCATTAAAAATGTTTATTTTTAATTTTACTACTATACCATTTTTATAATTTATACTTTATAGATTAATATGTCGCAACATACATAAGAAAGGTTCATCCAGTGGAGTTGATCCAATGCCTTTTCTTGGTGGTATAGGAGTGTAAGTATATGTAACATGTATATATATATGTATGTATGTATATACAGGGTGAGGCAATAACTTTGTCCACCTCGAATATCTCCGCTGTTTTTAGAAATATGGAAAAATTGTAATCACGAATGTTGTAGGATATCAAGAAGGCCACAATATGTAATCTTATCTTAGTAAGTGTTGGCGCTTCAGAGATCTTAAAGTCACCTCCATTGCACTAAGAAATAAAAATGTATAGTATACCATAAAAAAATGGAGATAATCTTGAGATCACTAAAGCGCCTCCACTGAATGAAAAAGTATTGTTAGCATATTATGGCCCTCTTAATATTCTACAACCATCGTAATTGCAACTTTTCGATATTTTTAAAAATAACAGAGATATTCGAGGTAGACAAAATTATTGCTTCATCCTAATATAACCCAGTGAACAGCAAGTAACAGTTACATAATATCAATATTATAATTTCCCATTCAACAATGTAAATATAATATAACACGCATGTTATATTACATTGTTGAGTAGGAAATAATAATCTTGATGTTATGTAATTGCTACTTGTGGTGTTTAATAGAAAGATATTTAATTAAAAAAATGCATTAATTAAATTTCAATTTAATATTCCACAATAAACAACGATATACTTTTATGATACTTTAAATACTTTCAGTTAATAATTAATTGTGAAGATTAAATGTTTGTATGTTCATATACATATGTTGTTATGTTATGAAAATGAAACGTAAGTAAATTAGATTATGTAACTAAACAAGCAATTTTTTTAGATGTATATTGATGCTTCGGTACGCTTGGATGTTAGATGATTCTAACATGATAAATGTTAATATATTTGGTTTATTGACAAACGTGATTTATATGATTATCTATTACCTCTATGCTCCAAATACGGTATTTTCTCTTATATTAATTTATATTTGATTTTTAATTAATCGGAATTTTCTGTTTATCACATAATATTCTTTTCTTTTTAGAATGAAGTGCTTAAATTAATATATAAAGTAACAATCTTTGTTGTAATTTTTCTTGTCTATGCACAAATAGAACATCCAACAAACGTTGAATTCAGATTTGGCATTGTGGTTACAGTACTTCTCCTTCTTTTAATAGCAGCTCCTCTTGCACATCTTGTGAGTAGATCTATTTTTTCTACATATACATAACTTAAATTTTCTAAATATATTTTAATCGTATTTATCACATGACAATCATAATAAAATATATTTTTTTGTTTTTTAGAGAACCGTTATAGAAACGAAAAATACAGCGATTCTTCCATTTCCACTTATCTTTATGGGTACACTAGTTTCATTTCAGTGGTTATTGTACGGCATTACCATTAACAATGTTTTTATTATTGTAAGTATTCTTTGTAATAGTTACTAAAATATTTAAAAATCAAATTTTAAATATATACATACAGGGTGAATCAGAGTCGCTGGACCAAACTGGATACCCAACATTTTACCATGTCATATTTCATTATATCTTTGTGAGATATAATTAAATATGACATGGTAAAATGTTGGGTATCCAGCCTTTATGGTTCACTCTGTATATACGCACACATATATGTATAATATTTCATTATACTTATTTATAGGTTCAGAATGCAGTTGGTTTTACGCTTAGTGTAGCTCAACTATCTCTATTTGTGATATTTCCATCTAAAAAGTTAAAAGTTGAATTATCGGATGAGCAGAGTAAGAAAAATTAATTTTTGAAATTTTTAAAGGAAATATATTTTTTATATTTAAAATTATTATATATGTATACTTACGTACAGTATTTAGATTTAATACTGTAATGAATAATATTTATCAACAGTATTTAACTAAAAACAAGTAAAGTTCGTAAGTATAAGATATTCCAATACCGTAAAAGACAATATGAAGCATTTTATGTATATTACTTTGTTATAAAGTATATCATATTTTGTTATATACATATCCCGTACAGCACAAAACTTGCAGTTACATTGCAATAACATTGCTACAACATTGCAACATTGCTGTAATGTAGCTGCAACGTAACTGCAAGGTTTGTGCTGTATGGGATAAGTTATTATATATAAGTGATATTTGAATTAAATTACATTCTATATTTTTAATGTATACATATATTATGTATATAGACTGTATTTACGTCAATTATTTTTATTAAATAAAATATGTTAAATAATAGTCTAAACTTAATAAATAGTCATACATGTGCGCATACATTAATCCCAGAGAAATTTTTAAATGAGCATAGGCACGGTTTTGGAGATATGAAGGGGTGAAAGTGATGGTTTCTCACAATCCACATGGAAGTACACTAAACTCTTCAAGTTTTCCTACCATGGAATAAAATATATATAACAAGTGAAGCATATCGTTTCTTATGGATTCTTTTTACGCCGGATTCAAATATGACCTTAGTTTTCGTCCAGCATGAAAATTCCCTGAGACAGAGTTGAAGTGATACTTGACACCACCTCATGGATCGGGATGCTTTTCTCCCGTGAGTCTCCTTGCCTCTCACAGATTCTAAAAAAAAACAAAACATAACGTCAGAATAAACGAAACGTTAATTGAGAATATTATAGTCTTGAGCGAAACAAACTGTAAAAAAGGACACTTTCTATCATTAATTTATGAGATATTATTAATAAATTCCGAGAAGAAAATTGATTTTGTCCCAAGATCAAGAGTGTGAATTAATCTTTCGATTGGATGAATCTCTCTCACGAATAATTTTCCAGTAAATAATTTTTACCGCCAATTATCAGTGTATACATATTAATACTTAATTTGCTTTACTTTACTTTTTTTATAGATTTACCTTTACAATTTGACTTTTCATTTGTACATTAATAAAAAATGTTTTACATCGGATGAGTTGTGTATTATTGTATGCATATTACAGGTTTAAAAAAATTAATGATAAAAAGGTAAAAACAATTATTGCAAAGTAAAGAAGCTGCCGAGAAAAATTCAGGGGGGGGGGGTGGAGAGCCTCTACAAGATCTCTCTACAACTTTGGTCCATTCGCTAATTAACAAAGAAAAATGAATAACTCTGATTTTATCGACATTTCATGCACGTAGCACGGAACACAACCAAAACGTGCACATCTACGTTATCCGCTTAGTCCAAACGTGAATATTGGCTACGTAGTTCACGTCCACGTCGTCAATGTCGACAGAGGGCGTATCGCGTTCGAGGATCACGTAAAAGCGGGCCGTGACGGCTCTCAGGCCGGTATTCATAGTCGATTTTTATTTAAAAATCATCCTAAGAGGCTGGTACGGCTTTGTGATCGGTTAAAAACACATTAAGGGCCTAATTCTCTAATAATAATTTCATTACTCTTCCGCGTCGGCGCGTCTCGCCGTTCCTCGCCGCCATGACAGTCCCGGCAGTGCGAAAACGGTTCGAAACAGTGCGATCGCTCCGTAGTTACCGCGGGGTTTCAGTTCTTCGGAATCCAGAACGAGCGTGAGTTTTCGTCGAGAGTGTCGGTTAAAGCGACAGGCGGCCGCCGGAACGTTTCAGTCGCGGTAGTTTGCGGGCATCTGAGTCATTTCGTCGATCGCGGTCGACGCGGTGCGGCGGTTCGGTTACGGTGTGTACAGATTCCGACGTACGGACCTCGAAACTGATGTATTCTTCCACCGAGAGAATCGGGGCGCGTGCTCTTTATTAAATACAGCATAGCGTGACTTTAAATTACGGTTATATTACGCCCAACGGAACATTTCTAGCTAGATATAAACGATAATAATCGATCACAATTACGGTCGTGACTTTCACGCTCTTTCAAGAACGACGCGCGTGGATTAAACTTCCGAAATTCGCGCAATCGGGGATGCATCGTAGTTTGCCGAAGAAACGAGGTAGAAGGCATATAATCCTCGTCGCTAAATCTAACCGTTTCACCTCCCAAGTCCCAGCTCGTCTTGTCGCGTCGCGACAAGCGTCGCGATACTGCGCATGCGCGCGCGACGCATCGCCGTTTCCCGCGCCGTCCCGGCTGCCATGACAGTTCCGGCGGTTCAGAGTCCAGACTAAGCGCGAATTTTCGTCGGGAGCGTCCTCAAGTGATGGGCGATCGTCGGGCCGCGTCGGCCCTCGTGGAGTCCAAGCAACGCCTGCGATTCCATCGATCCCGGTTAACGGCGGTTCCGTGGCTCGAAGCTGATTCAGCTCCGGTGAGTGGAATTTTCAAAGTTTCAAGCGCGCAAAAGTGTCTCTCGTCTACGACTACGTCTTCGTGCATGAAGAATAGAAAATAACGCACATTAACATATTAAGATATTAAAATTTTAAACGATCGACATTGCGTATAGCACGCGCCTCCTGCATTTAATAGAATATCCGTCATTGGATCTTGCGTTGTCACATTACGTGAATATGACGTTCCTTCAATGCTTCTTAGAGTACGACTGTCGTACAGAATGCGGTACTTTCATCAAGAGAAGTCCCAATAGTATTATGCGGGGTCTACAATGCGAGCCTCAGAGAGTCCCAAATTAATTAAATTTAATTAAATCTTAATTTCGTTGTAGCTAATGTTGCTACATTTATACTAATATACGCATGGATTAAGTGAATTTTGCGTCATGTAAATTATGCTGCGGTCGATGAGATTACAAAAATAATCTTATATTAAATTACAACCCCACCCAGAGAACATGCATGTCTCAAAGGCATCTTTAAGACGACTTAAAGATGCCCTTGAGACATGCATGTTCTCTGGGTGGGGTTGTAATTTAATGTAAGATTATTTTAAGACGTCTTAAAGGTGTCTTTTAGACATGCATATTCTCTGGGTAGTTACGCAGCGCACTGGCTAAACATTGGCCCAATACAATCAAATATTGGACCAATGTTTAACCAATGTTTGTTCAATGCATTGTGCTACTAGGAAAGTTATTATGATGACAGAAAAAGTACACAATACCATTGCGAGTTTTAAAGAAAGTGTCGTACAATTGTTACATTATAATATGCATAATTAGGAACGGATTTCATAAAACTCCGTCCATGGATACAATTTATTATGAATACGCGTCCGTACATCCGAGGGTCGATTCTGCATCTTACGATATAGTGAAAATGCTAAAAGTGAGCGGCTTTGTCTCTTTCTAAGGGGACAGTTAGAAAGGGACAAAGCTACTCCCTTTTAGCATTTTCACTATAGCGTAAGATACAGAATTGACCCTCCGATCGCAAATGCACCAGTGGTAGTGTCAGTCGTTAGAATGTCAGATAAATTGAAATCGCCACTGATCGGAAAATGTTTTCAAGATTACCGACGTAAATAGCACAGAGACATCTTCGTATAATATTTATTGGATGTAATAATACATAGCTACAGTTGTGTGATACATGAAGTCACAAAATCTAATTATTATCGCGATTACTGCGAAAAAGATAGCCATGCTTTTTCTATTTATGTACAATTTTGTACACACACACACACACACACACAGATCATTCATATCGTACTCACAGTTTCATCCGTTGACTATGACTGCTATTTCACTTTCTGACTACGACATACAAAACGGTTTTTTCCCAAACATTTCTGAAACGAAAGGATTATCGATGTAGATAGCAATAAATTGGTTAAAGAGTCTTGATTACTTACAAATCTTATTGATTTTGTTTAAATGCAGCACTCTCAATCTTAATTATGCAGGTACGTATGTTCGTAGTCAGAGTTAATCTTTTTAACATAAAGCTATAAAGATGAAACATTACAGTACGCTCAAATATTAAATGGTAACATATGCTTGCCTCAAAAGCAATATAAAAATATTGATATCTTTTAATCTTACATGGTGTACAGCCTACATATACTAGTTACATAGTCGTAACAATTCAAAAATTAGTGCTTACCTACGAGATATTTATATGCGATCACATGCGCATCAAATATTCGGAATATCTGAGATATTTCATGTTACACGTAAAATAATGTCACAGTGGAATGTTTCACTTAAATAATAAGAACATAGCCTTCTTTGTAGCTAACATGTGGCAGTATGCAGTAATTAAATATTCTGCGAAGGGAATATACGGCAACCGTGCACTTAAATGTCGCTAATTATTCTAAGAGAAAATAAAAGTCTCGATCGCGAATACGCGACGAGTCACTGTAGTAATGCAGATAAACGTAATTCGTAATAGCTGCGCGTCGAGTAACGTCGTTCCTATTTCGCGTAGAGCACTTGATCGGATAATCGTAGCGATTCATTATGCAGGATTATCAGTGGACCTGTTAGAAATAGGATAGTCGAAGCACATTGTTGCTAGGGAATCCGCAGCGTACTTTCGTTCTTGCTGTGTCGTCTTCAGCCACTGCTTATGCTCGCATAAATAAGGATATAAAGGTACCACTAATACGCTGATATCGTCCACCGATGCTATAGGCGAGGACTTCTCGTCTGCTTCGTTAGGATTCTCTGGTTTTCCCATCCATACTCTGCCGATTAATCGACCTCTTGCCGCCTGCACCAATTCTTGAGCACCCATTGTCAGTCTACAAAGGCGAAAAAGGGATGCGATTGTTAAAGTGCAGATAATTTGCACAAATTTCGCGACAGTACCTATATTCTAATGACGGGGTATCGGGTGCAAGAGTCTTTCTAAGTATAGCTGCCGCTGTTCTGTCCGTTACTACATCCCAAAGTCCGTCCGTGGCGACGATAACGCAATCTCGTTCGGTAAGATTGCAACTGTCCAAGTCCAACGATTGTACCTCGGGTTGCGATGATAGAAACGGTTTGATGCTAACACCGGTATTTGCCGCCTTCAAGCCATGATCCCCGAAGCCTCTAGTCACGCCTATCGTTCCCATCACTCTGCTCTATACGCCATTAACAATTTATTTAATACTACAAATAAGATTGCTGTAATTTGAAATTACAAGTTATGGCGCATACACACCCTTTTCCCGTGTCCCGAAATGAGCGGCAGTTTCAAGTCAGAGAGCGTCAAGGTTTTATACGCCCAGCCAGTCATGAAGGGTTCTCTGTACAAAACCATGGATCCCAGTTCCTTCTGCAGCGGCCTTTTCCTAAACTCCAACGGGGTGAAGTGACCCTTGAGCAACTCGTTGCTTCTCAAAAAGCCTAAAGCTCTAACACGATTCGATTCAGAATCCGGAGTGTGGTCTCTGGTAAGAGCACGTTGCTCCTCCCCCAAGACTAATACGGCCCTAAAATCGTACAGGAACGCAAACTATACAGACATCATGAATACATTAATATAGGAGATATATGTATAAAAATTATAATCCACCTCGAGTCACCAGCTCCGGCTGCGTAAAGCCTCCCATTAAGAAATAAGATTGTAATAGCCGTACAACCACCGCCACCGTTTTGAGCCTGCATCTCCACCATTTGATCCATTTGCCTGTACGCTAATTCTATAGCACCCGTAACTAGATCTCTCCCCTTTATCAGTTCATTCTCATCCTCGTTCAACAGCATATTGCCCGGTATAGCCAGCAACCTCTCCTGCATTTTCGAAAGTGGCTGGTCAATTAAATATAATATACATATTGCATTATCTCAGGCAAGTTTGCGGGGGGATAGCATACAAGGATTATCCTATGTAGATGCAATCGCGCCGTGAGGGCGACCTGATACCCTGCGTGCCCGTCAAACATCGAAAACATGACGTAAGGCAGTGTGACATTGATATCCGACAATTTCAAGTCCCCGCGTGTCGCCGAGGCTTGGTCCTCGTTCCACATACTTTTGCCGGCGTTTATGCACTCCGCGTAGCCGGCGCACCACGGCAAACGGCTGAGATCCCTCGGTACTATTATAGGCCTCACCTTGTGATCCGCGCTCACCTATTCCACGTAGCCATACGTACAGTCGAGATAAATCAGTTGGCACGTCACCGCTAACGAGCGGATTAGCGCTGCTCGATAAAATCCATTTGCTATGTAACTTGCGCGAGAAATACCTGCGTCTCTTCAGCCGTCAAGCCGAGGAAACTTGGCCGGCTGTAGGGCTTGTTCTCCACCTCTACCACATAGTTGGAGTTGATGTAGTCCGCCGTCGTATCATTGTCGGAGTCGTTCGGGTACTGCAGGCCGAGCTCGCTCGCGCCCACGGCGTTCATTAATACTGACTTGAAGCGGTTGAACATCTTTCTATCTTGGCTTGTGCAGCGCTAGGCTAGAGAATCCGATTGACACTGTGCTCGACAAACAGTATCATATGTCACGCCCGAGCCGCATAGTATCCGAGTTTCGCCAATACCCGTTGCCGCACCCGACGACGTGCGATATGCGACGAGCTGATTGAACTCCGGGAACTTGGTTGCCTGTCGAAGACGAGTGCTCGCATCAGGAATCCGTTTGTAGGAATACCCATCCTTGTCGCGGGACAACCTCATTTCTCCAATACTACGGTACTCACCGCGATCGCATTCAGCAATTATATTCGATCGATGTCATCTTGTTGACAAACAGTTGTCAACAGTCGGAGTCAGGTTATATCGCATTATACCATCGCGATTGACAGAACGTCGGCGCGCTCGTCTAGTGACATCTGCACGACGTCCTCGGTAGGCCTTTAACGGAGCGCGGCGGTA